TATATATATATATATATAAGGGTGAGTCATGCCAATTTATGTTTGTATTGAAGAAGTAGCCCTTCGTGTTACTCGGTACCCCAAAAGTAGCTCTCAGTCTCCAAAATTTTGGTGACCCCTGCTCTACAGTATACAGTATTCCCTGGATCGCGGTTCGGTGATTGACTTTGTTGTCGTGCACCGGGGCAGATATTGGGGCATGGGCAGTCAGGCAGGCAGACACCGGGGCATGGGCAGGCAGGCAGGCAGACACCGGGGCATGGGCAGGCAGGCAGGCAGACACTGGGGCATGGGCAGACAGGCAGACACTGGGATAGGGGCAGGAAGGCAGGTCCCGGTGCCTGCCACGGTGCCTGCCCCGGTGCACGACAAAAAAGTCAATCACCGAACCGCGACCCAGGGTGTCCTGGCACCAAAAGCACACATGGACACCCCCACGCCTGAACATGGTGCCTGCCACAGGCAATCCATGGTGAGCAAAAAAGCCCAACAACAAAACACCGCTCTGGCTCATATCAGGGGGGCTGCTCTTCCCAACCACGCCTCTCCAGGTCCCACTGCCATCACCCACGCGAGCACTGAAATGCCCCAGCAGAATGAGGGAGTCCCCTCCAGGGGCGCTCTCCAGCACCCCCTCCAAGGATTCCAAAAAGGTCCTGAAGTCGCACAAAAGTTCCCCCCACGGCCCCTCCAAACTCCCCCATGCCTAGATTTTTAGGAAGGAAGGAAGGAAGGAAGGAAGGAAGGAAGGAAGGAAGGAAGGAAGGAAGGAAGGAAGGAAGGAAGGAAGGAAGGCAATCACCCACCCACCCGGGCGTGGGAGGAGTTCAGAGAGGCCAAGGAAAAAGACCTACACGCGACCCTGGGGCTGCCCCGGAGTCCCCAGAGGGCATGCCGGAGAGCACCCCCAACGGGGACACCCCCGTTCCGCCAGGGGACCCCAATGCACACGTGGGCAATGACAGCAAGACCCGGAGAGTTGCGGCCGGGAGGAACAGCAATCTGAACCCGAGTGGTGCCCCGCCACCRGACCTCTGTGCTCGTCATGGACAACAAACACCATGCCCAAACACAAGGGCATCCACATGTACTCCCAGCACCAGGACACCCCAGGCTGCAGCCCAACGATCAACCCCGCTGCTGTTCCATCCGATCCACGGGTGTCCTGGACACCCGGGTGAAGAGAGGGGCGGAGCCGCCGACTGATCAGCACCCGGCGGCGAGCCGGCTCCGCTGGCGGGGGAGGACGCTGGTCAGACCCGGCAGACCCAAACGTACAGTGTGTGCCGCCAGAGCCTCACGACAGATGGAACCTAAACTCACACCTCCGGGAGAACCCGGACCGACCGAGCTCCATGGGTGAAAGCCCGGCCACCAGGTGCCCGTCAACGAGCCCCACCTCCAGGCCTGGCTCCAGAGTGGGGCCCCGGTGACCCACGTTCGGGCAGGGGGTCTTTGGGCTGCACTTTGTCTTATTCCTCACCTACAACTTGTTTGCCTTAGATTACCCTACAGGGGGCATGAAGCCCCC